ATACACACCATCATTATTCACTCTGTTGTTTCTAAAATGTTTAGATTGTTCTTAAAGAACATCCCACAGCATCAGGACACTCCAACTCAAGCACCTACATGACTATCACATATTTAGTACAGCTGAGAGCAGCTCAGCTCCTGGACTCTGATGGCACCTGTTGTGAGCTGGCCAAGAAAGCAGCTTCATGCTATGAACCGGGGTGATTTCCAAATGACTTTTAAAAACAAAATGAAGGAAATTACTGCCTAGACAAAAACACAGCCCATATGTTTATCTGTTTTACCAAAAACACTCAAGATTTATTGCCTCCCCAGTTTCACCATTATGCCTCACGTCTCTGAAAACAGCATGGTATTATAAATTATACAGATTCTTAGAAATAGCCATTTCCTAATGATTTGCAGAGAGCTACAAAAATAAGCAAAGTGTAAATTCCAGAAATTGTAACAAAAAAATTAACCACATCAACTCAAAATTGTTCTGTACAATGTCTGTCTACACACCTCTGACTCCTGCTAAGGTCCTGGCACAAAGGAGACAGCATGAACAGCATTTTCTAATGTGTCACAAATAAAGGTAGTGCTGTTAACTAACAGGCAAATGCCACCTGTATGCAGTGATGTCCCAGTACAAGGGAAGGTACAAATAAGGCAAAAAAGGGACAAAACAGTCTTTCCAAAAATCAACACTACCACCTAGCACAGGGACCAGCTTTCACACATTAACTGCTCAGGATGTGCTGCCTGGATTCAGTTGCTTCATACAGGACATTGTTACAAAACAAAATGAAACTAGATTTGAAAGGACACTACTTTTCCCTGAGGGCTTCTGTTGGCAAAACTCTAAGGCAACAAGCGAAAATGATAGTTGATTTTCATTACTGTCTTGATCTTGCAACAATAGAAGGGCAGAAAATATTCTTATATTTAGTAAACTAAGTCTTACACAAAGACTGAAAACAAATATAAACAACCATTATCTCTAGGCCTTTTCTTATTAAAAGGGCTAAGGCAAATTTGGTTAAAGGCACAGCAGCAAAAAACCAAAATGTCTCCTTGCTGCTTTAAAATTTTTGCTCCACAAGAAATTGAAATTAAAAAAAAAAAGCACTGTAAGTCTGAAACAACTACTATATCCTAGAAAATCTCCTTGTGGCAATTCTAGAGTCATTAAAAAAAAACAAAAACAACTACAATTAGCAAAGAGAGTAAGGGGAAATGGCATTAAAAGGAATACTTCACCCTGGTCTTTACTACCACTTGTGGTTAAAACACATTTTAAAAAAAAGAGGAGAAATTCTTTATTATCTTAAAGCACTACATCATTTCTCTGCTGGAAAACATACGTAAGAAAACTGGAAACATGAACTATCCAGACCTAGTTTCTAAGCCCAAACTAACTTTATTTTGAAAAAGAACACCACCATTTCATATTCACTTCAAGATTTTACTGTAACAAATCTTTCATTACTGCTTTTGTTTTTAACCCAGTCCCTTAATTCTTAACTTGTGCTATGTATGATCTAGTCATTTCCCCGTCTGTCCATCTCCACGAAGGCACAGAATCCCTTCTGCCAGAGCATCAATGGTCAGTGTTGTACACTGCAGGAGTTCATGAATCTGAAACCTCTATCCATTAAAGAGACAGAAATTAATCTACAAGGAAAGAATACTTGTCATTTTAGCCTAACTTCTGTGTTCAAGGAGGCATAGTGCATTTCTTTTAGCTTAGTGTTCTCTATTAAGCAAAAATAACTTCTGGCATATAACTCACATACATTAAAGTCACTGATCTTTAGTGCACAATTTGATTTTTAGTATATTCAGATATGTGCTACAATCACCACCACTATCTCATTGTAAAGCCTGTTTGACGGAACACCTCCCTCCAATAAAACCTTGTACCTATTAGCAGTCCCTCCCTCCTCCAGCTTTTGGCAATCACAAATTAACTTTCTCTGTATGGACTTGCTGATCTTATTCAGACACTTTTCTATAGTAAATATGTGCTCCTTTGTGACTGACTTCCAATAATCATCACGCTGTATTTATAAGGTTCATCCATTCACATTTAGCATATTTCTTATGAACTTTCAAACTCTTTTGACAATATTTCACTGCCTACCCCCCTCAAAATACTAACTTCTTGCATTTATCTCTAGAAAATCTAGAGTTTTCTATTGATTCTTTAAAAAAAATTCATATTCTAAGTTCTCCTTTCAGTAACATCTGTAAATACAGTATTTCACCTACCTGTATTTCTCTAACAATAGGACATTATCATGCTGTTAGCAAAAGATGACTACCCCTTCTATCCTCTTCATGAAACATGCTGAAAATGAATTTTATTCCTTTTTAAAAGCAGTCATCAGATTATTCAACTATTACTCATAACTTCCAGAGCTCCTTTATTTAGATGTTCTGTCCACATTAAATTGATAAACAAGGCTGTCTACATAACTTCATGAAAAACCACATTTTCTACATTAAGGGGGCAAATCACTGTATTGCTATGACAAAGAGGGGACTCTAATCCTTAGAAATCTAAGACAAAAACTACCTCTCCATCAGCAACACCCAAACATTTATTACTGTTCTAGACAAAGGCCCACAGAATACCCACGTTAGTCTGCTATTTCTTGCTAGCCCCCTTTCAGACTGAGAACTAAACTTTCCATGTTGAGCACAGTATTTGATCCTCAAAACTCCAGAGTTTTAGGAAGGGGCTGGTATAGAGTGAGGACTTCAACAAACCACTACCAGGATTGGGGTGACTTTTGGCCAACCGTTAGGTTTCCAGGAACCAACTATTTTAAGGGGCTCTTTGGGACAAGCTTTGGTATCAGGGAATGGTAAATATTAAAATATCCTTTCCCTGCCTTCTTTGTTTTCTCAAGGAAAACTGCCTTTCACAAAGATTATTTTTATGAAGAACACCACTGCAAATAAGTCCACCCATTTTAAAATGCCAGCCTCTGGCTTCAAAGGCAGTGGTCAGTGCTATTTTGACTTTGCAGAACTTCTTGTTTGTTTGCCTTTGAGTTAAGCCAACTCCTTAGCGGTAGGTTTTCAAAAACCCAGGAGTAGCCAGCGCATCTTCTGTCGCGCAGTGTCAGATTCCAAACTTATGCCTTTGTGGCAATGCAACTCCCTACCCAACAAGCCCTTGCTCCCTTTTCAGAACTTTCTAGCACTAAAAACTAAAACTCCATGAACGAGAGAATTCAATGGCATGCCAGAGTAAAATGGATTCGGCTCTGTGCCTTCTATTTTTAGCTTTGAAAAAGATAAACCCTCCGGTTTCCCAAACTACATCTGCACTCCTAAGCAGAAGGTGCGAGAAGCCTCTGTCCACTTTGGTGTACTGAAAGTTTAGGAGGCAAAAGCAGGGAACCACGAATGTGTGGGAACTACCCCCCCCCCATCTATGCCCTCCAGAAACTCTATGCAGGAAACATGCGAATTCCACAGATTTGCTCCGATTCGTGAACTCCTTTCTCAGTCGATTTTTAACAGTGATGGGGACATACCGCCCAGCACTCTCTCTTACTCCCTTCCTTCTTCAAGGTTCAGCGCAGATTCTGCAAAGTTAAAGGGCACCACCTGCACACTGGGCGATTACTGCTCAAGCGCCGACCGCGTTTCAACTCTCAGTGGTGATCAAACTGTCCATTCACAATGCCACCTCGAGGCTACAGTAAGCCGTCCTTCGCTTTTTCAATGAGAAGAATAAATGTTGCCCTTCTCCCTCCACACGGGGCGGGCGAGGCCCTAAATTCTCGCTCCTTCTCTCTCTCCCTGGACTCCCTTTTACCTTCACTACCCAAACACTGCTATCAGATTGCACGCGATAGGGAGTGCAAAACGATAATACTGTGTACAAAAGAAGTGCGAGGCAATTGGGGTGGGAGCTGAGGGAGGGAGCACAATTCTGGCCACAACATAACTGAGGCCACGGCTCCGTGTTCCCCTTTTCGCCCATCAAGACCCCCAAACCACGCTCGTCCATCCCGAAGCCCCTCGTGGGAGTTCCTCTAGCTCGTGCGGGCGCCGGGGTGGCCCAGCGCGCGCGTGACGACCACATCCCGGGTTGAAGTACGTGCTGAGCGATGCTCTCTGGCTGTGACTGCAGCTCCGTGCTGGCCCGGCCCGGGAGGGCCTAGAAGTCCCGGAAAAGGGGAATGCGGCCGGGCCGAGCAGAACCTAGGAGAAGGTCCCAGAACCTACTGCTCAAGCGCCAACGCGCTTCCCAAGACAGGGCTGCCGGGAGCCCGCCCCCCCCCCACCCACCGGACTTGCTGAGGTCTACGCTTCGAGGCAGTAACTTTCCGTCCTCGGGAGCCTCGGTGTGACGCGGGGTGGAGAAGAGAGGGACAGATTCTCCAGGATTAGTATCTCGGTGGCGCGGAAGAAGGGCCTGTGGTGGTCAGGAATCTGGGGGCGCTCTTGCTTTCTGTGGGGTCGAAAACCCAACCAGCAAAACACGTTGGGAGCCAGGAGGCGACTCCGCGCAGCGCGGGAGGTTTGGAAATGCGTCCTGGGCAGCAGGACTCCTCATAGGCATCTCTCCTGGACGGCGAACTGCCCTGCGGGCCAGGCAGCCTCCGCCCTCTGAGCCCCAAGGTGGTGGCCGCAGCGGGGTGGTCCCGGGAGCCATCTGGCGGTGCACGGGCGGGGCAGGCGCCCCTCGAGCCTGCCCGCAGACAACACGCCTCGCTTGGCCACGGGGCCACTCCGAGTTAGCGCGGCGGCCCATCCGCTCGCAGGCAGGACTCGAGGGCGAACGAGGAGCCCCCAGGCCCTTCCCGGTCCGGACGCGCCGCGCCAAGACCCCGGGGACTCTCCACTCGCTCGTTCGTCCTGGGACCACACGGGCCGCTGCCACCCCCACCTACGGCGACCCCGAATCCGGGAAAGGGGCGATAGTGCGACGGGCCCTCGGTGCCGCACGTGGGCGCAGGAAAGTTCCCGAAGCGGCGGCGGGCGGGGGTTACTCACTTTCTCCACGCGTCGGCCCGAGCGCCAGGACCGCGCACAGCGACAGGAGAGCCCACAGCCAGGCCAGCGACCCGCCTCCGGAGCCAGACTTCATTCCTTTGCTTTGGGACGAAATTCCCCACGCTCGGGGAAAAAAAAAAACTACAAATAAACAAAAAGGGGAAGACAAGGAAGAAAGGAAAGTCTCGGGTTCAGTCGTTGGCCGTCTCCAACACCCGAGCGCCTAGCACCGGCCCCGGCGGCCCAGGGCTCCGCGACGGCGACAACCGGAGGTGCGTCGGGCTGCTCTGTCGGCGTCGTCTGCCTCCATCTTCAAACCCAAAGGCAGGCGGGGAAAACTGCAAAGAGGGGGGAAACCAAGTCGATCCTGGCGAAGAAAAACGCACGGGGCCCCGAGGCGAGCGGAGGCGCCCAGCCCGAGCGCCGTGGGCCACGCAGGACGCAGTCCTCCCCCGAGTCCGAGGGGCCGAGCGCGGAGCCGAAATGAATGGGGCGTCCCCTCCTCCTCGTCCTCCCCCGGGCTCGCTGCCGCCTCCTGCCTCAGCACCGCCGCCGCGGGTTCCGCTCCGAATGCAGGGCGCACACAAAGCAGCGGCCGGGGGCGAGGCGCACCCCACTCCCCGCCGCCCGGGCCCGCGCCCCCGCCTCCGCGCGCAGGGGCTCAGGCTCGTTGAAGGTCAAAGCCGCGGGGTGCGGCACGCCAGGGGCTCCCCTCGCGAAGAAGGGGCGTGGAGGCGCGGGAGGGGTGCGGGAGCCGGGTGGAGGGTCTGTGGGGCGCCCGCCGCCGGCGCCGGACAGGCTGGCTCGTCGCGTCCCTCCGGCTCCCTCGCTCTCTCCGGAGTTCGGCTGGTGCGCTCGCTCCTCCTCAGGTTTTTTTTCCCTTTTTTTTTTTCCACTCAGCGGAGTTAATGCTGGTAAACAA